GTGGAATGGAAGCTTTGTCTTTGTGCAAACTTTCCAGCTGTGGAAACTCTGGCACTGCTCTAAAGATTAATGGCATTTCTTGGCAAAGGATGGGAAAAGCAAACTTCTCTGCTCTACAAGGATTAAGTCTTAGCCTAGAAGCAAACTGTCCCCGGCCTCCGCAGTGAGGTTATCTTGCAGAGAACATTCAGGCTGTTTCTCAATAGCGCCTGTGCTGGCGTCAGCCAATGTTTCCTAGTTAGTAAGATTACATCCCATCCGCCCAGCATGCAGAGTGGTGCTGAGTTTCTTCTGTCTGTCAAACACACACACTTGTGTGAGAAGCACACCCACAATGACTCAGTATCTGACAGAAAGAATGGACAGAGCTGATAAGCAGAGACCAAAGAAGCATGAAGATCATTCTAGCACAACCAGTGTCAGATCCACTCATGTCTGGAAGCCAGAACATAAGCCACAGTAGCTTGCCCTTTCCTGCATCTGCCTGGAAATGCTGCAAATAGAAGGAAATATTGAGCAAAAGTAATTAGCTAATGAGGACCTTAAATGCCAGTTTAATAGCAGCATTAATAATAAAGCAAAGTTTTATTGGGTTAAAAGAGGTTAAGTGGCAATCTTAGTAAAATGGTCATTATAGATTTTCTTCTTTGCAGGCAATGAACAGAACCTTCTGAAAAGACCAATTATTATAACTGCCTCCTCTGAATTTGCTGTTTCTCAAAAGAGGTGTTTCTAAAGGTTTTAAAAAATGATTACCACTCTTTGCAGGGCCCCTTGTCTGAGGCCGGAGTCTAGGAGCTGTGTCTTTAAAGAAGCCCTTACAGGGAACTCTGTCGGTTGCTCAAGGCTTGCTGCCAACAAACAATTGAGGTATTTACCAAGGGTTTCCAAGAAATTGCTGCAAATTATATGAAATGTTATACCTGTTACAGGCATTCAATGTATTAGCAACAGAAAAAATAAATGTAACGTGGGTGGGAAGAGGGTTGCAATTTGTGAGAAAATGTTCAGTAATGTAGGTAGAGATGAATTTTAGGTACGTGACATAGATAATCACACTGCATGAAGACAGAAATGAAGTTAGCATGGCATTTTTGAACACATTTCTAAATATCAGTCTAGAATCACGGAGAAGGGACTTTAACATGACGTGTGGAAAGACCCATTTGGAGATGAGGAAACTGAACCCCTGAGGGGGGTGTGCAGCTTGTTCCTGGTGGGACTTCCTCGTGTAGAGGGATGACCAGAATCCCAATTCTGCACCCGAGCCAGCCGGGGACCCCCATCTTAGGTGGTGTGTGTGCCATTAGGAACTTTCATTCTTAAATAACTCTCTAGTTTGGGGCTTCCCTTGCAAGTTTTTCTGAGTGTGGCTAACTCCACTCCTTTTTTTTTTTTTTTTAAGTTTATTTATTTTGAGAGAAGGAGACACACACACACACACAGCATGAGTTGGGGAGGGGTAGAGAGAGAAGGAGAGAGAGAATCCCAAGCAGGCTCTGCACTGTCAGCGCAGAGCCCAGTGTGGGGCTCCAACTCATGCACCGTGATATCACGATCTGAGCTGAAATCAAGAGTTGGATGTTCAACCCATTGAGCCGCCCAGGTGTCCCAAACACCACTCCTTGTTTAAGATGGGAAAAATAGTCAACGAGTCCCTCAATCTAAGAGGGAGGGCTCCTAGTGCAGCGAAATCGAGAAATAGTTCTTTCCTCCGTTTACTAAGGTGCAATGCCTATGAAATCTGATCAACCTGACTTCTCCTCATCTTTAAAAATAAATTAGGGGGAGGGAGACATAGGGAGTGAGGAGCTGCCTGGCCTGGAGCAGGTTTTGAGGAGGGTGCTGTGTGCGCATTGGTAGGCTGGGGTCTCAGATGCACGCCATCCTCCCAAGATCCTTGCTGGTAATGGCTGTGCAGGAGCTGGTAGGGCTGGTGTCCAGACAGGCAGGCCTCCACAGTGGAGTTACCGATTTGGCCCTTTGGGCTGTCACTGAAATCCTGGCATTTGCCTTCAGCTATGAAATCCCATCCTGATTCAGGCCTCTGCAGGGCCCTTGTTGGGACATCTTTAGATCCTTCCCAGGGAGAACTATCTCAGCTTGAAGATCGAGCTGCTGCTTCCAGCTGTGTTGAAGCTTCCCCTCCCTATCCCCAGGCTGCACTTGGGAAGCGGCCCTTTCACCAGTGTAGAGGCTCCAGGAGCCCCTGGCTGACTTCTATAGGTCCCTGGCTCTCCTCCCTTCCCACCATCCTCTGGGCAGGCATCACCCTGCTTTTCCTGGGAGGACTTCACCTATGTCACATTCTCTTTGTACTGGGCGTTCTAAATGGTCAGACTCAGGCTTTATGGAGATAGGGAATCCTCTCTACATCATGAAAGACACACTTCATGAGTCTGCAGATGAGGCAGGTGAGGCTATGGATCTAGGAAGCAAGAAATTGAGGAGGACAAAACGTTTACCAGCCACAAAATGTTAAGTCCCAACACATGTTTATATGCTTTTCATTGGATTTCAGTCTAGAAGAGGAAATATACAGGGTTTTAGGCAGGTTAGAAAATACTGAACTCATTAAGTATGTCACCAGATTGAACATCTGTGTCTTGCCAGATTCGTGCTTTATGGAAATCATTGTGAATTATGGGGCTGTTGCTGAATTTGGGGCATCTGGTGACTACTTGGCATTTGTGGCTTATGGTCTTACTGGAAACCCCTTTGGATGGTTTTCAAGCCTGTAATTCATGGTTATATGTTCTGTATTTTGCCCAAGACCACTGCTGGAATCCTGTGTTCACTGTATAATGAGCATTTTATTTTTAGATGTGGATCACCTCTTCAGGAGGGAGTCTGTGGGGAAGGTGGGTAATGAACTATTTTTGACATAAATCACAAGTGCCAAAGAAAGTGGTAATATCTGAAGAATAAACAACAGTGACCACCATTCAATTGCAGAGACTGTGTCTGTATCTCCCACAACTTGCCACTTCAAATTGTGTAATATTTCAAACATTTGGTCATATTAACAATGAAGAAAGATCCAAAGGATTACCCCAAGCATGCTTACTTTCTGTCCCTAATTCATTTGATGACATGAAGGGGACCTGTCAGGCTCCAGGGAAACACTTTGCTCTCCAGGAGTTTCATTAGAAAACCCCAATATATTGGCGACTAAGTAACAAGACTAATATTTACTCTATGCAAACATTAGTTGTATGGACACTTCCTTGGCTTTTGTAGCCTTACTAAGTTTCTTTTTAAAAAGAGGAAATGTATAAAATTTAAAATCCATCCTAGAGAGGCTGTTATTCAAAACCTGTGTCTAGAAATACACGGCACTTTTATGGATGAACTATGTAGAAATATTGACAAAGATTCAGGTAGATTGGGGGTACTAGTCGACTATCTGCCCACAAAGAATGTAAATAAAAGTAGTGTTTACCATCCAGAGTATTAACATCACCTACCATTTCTTCAAATCCATTAAAGACTAGCAGTGTTAGGAGCTTGGGCATTAAATACGGGTGTTTTTTTTTTGTTTTTTTTGTTTTTTTTTAAGCTTAGAAACTAGGGGCAGGGAACAAGGTAAGTGAATTCACGGTTCACTCTCTAAGCTTGCACGTCTCAAACGGCTCCTGCACTGTTTATTCTATATGTGCTCGTTCCTGCCCACATAACGGCGGGAACAAAGGTGCAGTGTGAATCGGGAAGACGCGGGGAAGGTAGACGGTCAGGTCCGCCTGGCTGGAGGGCAGGGCGTGGGCAGTGGGGTTTATGTGAGGACAGTCTCAACAGATGGAACGAGCGGTTCGTGCAGAGTTTGGGGACCAAGAAGCCCCTTCTTTAAAAATCCCTCCTCAGCTTCACGCCAGCAGTGCATCTTGCAGGATGGGGCCGCCTGGAGGACACGGTCCCGGGGAGAGGACGCCCCGGGGCCAGGGCTGGGCGCCGCCGCCAAGAGTCCGAGCAAGGACCGGCGGGGGCGTGGTCGCCGGGCG